CGTGATGGCTAATCCCACTCTAAAAGTTAAAAACACAAAACTCATCAAAAGCAGGTGTGCAATGACCAAATAAACTCATTCATTGTTTACTTGAAACTCAAGGATATGTGACAAAGAAAACTATTCACAATGATCCGATACTATAATCTGTCTGTAAAATAACTCATCTACTCCTTCCATCTTTATAAAGGTGAAAAAATGAGCTTAAAATATGCAGCAGAAACAAGACGTATTAACCTGTAAAAACGGACCTTAAAATCATGTGCCTTTAAATTAAGAGGAAAAAAAACCTCGGCATTAAAGTAGGTGAATTACATATCACTAAATTTACGCAGTCATTGTAGCCAAGTTCCTTAAACGGAAAGTTGTCCAGTAGTGCCAAGGGGATCGGTAATGGTATCAAGAATTATTCAATTCAAATTTCAAATTCTGTTTAAAAAAGATAATGTTTTATTTGTTTTTAAACTAAACTCCAGAGTTGAGGGAAATTTTTGAAAAAAGGAGATGAAAAGGCACTGAGAAAGTGAACTTATTTTCTAGAAAACTCTGCTAATATTAGAATTAAATGTTCTAATTAGATAGTAATTTACTTGCTTTCTTGTACTTTGTCATCTTCTCTAGTTCGTGTTGTTACAGTTCTCCATATGCCGAATAAGAAAAACAAATTAATTAGACATTTTGCATGATCAGCATGTCACGACGATCAGACTAACAATACAAGGTTACTGCTCCACTGCCAATTCTTAAACTCCCTGCAATCTACAGCAAGCCCTCAAGAATATAAAAATGTGGGAATAAAGGGCTTTATACTTATTTTACAGGAGGTATAAACATCAATTATAAAGAAGAGATACAAGCCTTATTAAGTTAAAAGTACTATAATTAACGTGATTGCAAAAGCATTTTTAATAAAGCAGAGGAAATAATTATATTGCATGTAGTTCTATTTGGAGTTCATCGAACCATTAAAAGTTTCAAAAACACCCAAACACAAAGGCAAATCCTTATTACAGAATAAAATAAACGCAAAGTATGTTTAACCTTCAGCTAACGATCTAGCATTCGCTTTTCCCCAATCTAAACAACTTAGTCTTAATTCCTATAGCATACAGGATGGATTGGAAAAGGAAGCTAAAACTGGCTGATGGAGAGAGAGTTCCAGGTGTGTGGCACATGTAGTAACGGACACATTGAAGAGGGAAGGCAGTCTTCCCCCCAAAACCCTGCTCTTCCCGCAGTCTGCTCGTCTCAGGTAATGGCAGCTTCGTCTGGCTGGCTAGTCGGGCTAAAAACCCGCTTTCTTGCTGGAGCTCCTCTCTGTCTCACATGTCCTTCATGCAAGCCATCAGCTAATACTGTCACATCTCCAGGATCCGACGACTCCCTCATCATCTCCATCTCCCAGCTAAGACCTCCCATATTTCACCTGGATGACTGTAAAAGCTTCTAACTAGTCTGCTTTTGGCCTTTGCCCTCTGCAGGTTATGCTCAACCCAGCACCAGGTCGATCCTTTCCTCAGAGCTGTCCAGTGACTTCCCAGCTCACTCAAAATACAAGTCAAGGCCCTCACCATGGGGTCCTGCACAAACTGTGCCCCATTGTCTCTTTACTCGTCATTGCCTCAACATCAGTACACTAGCCATTTTGCTCTTTGATGGACGAGACACGCTCAGGTCAGGGGTTTCACAATTGCTCTTCCTTTTACCTAGAAAATTCTTCATTTAGATAGCACATGGCTTATTCCTTACACGTCCTTCAGGCTTTTGCTCAATGTCCACCTCTCAATGAATGATTCCCTGACCCCACTACACATAACCGCAAACCTTACACATCCCAACGCACCCCATTTCCCATCTTTAAACGTTTTCTGTTTTTCTTTATAGAATTTATCACCACCTAATTGTCAAAAATTTTATCTATTTTGTTTGTCTGAGTGTTCTCACTATATCGTAAACTCCATGAGATTAGGGATTTTGTCTGCTTTGTTCAATGCTATATTTCCATGGCTAGCTCACAGGAGGTGTTCAATAAAGGCAGGTTGAATGAACAGACCCTCCACAAATCCTCTAGTAACCAATGTCAAAAACTAGATGCCTACACAGGTGACCCAGACACTTTCCTCTAAGAACCACACAGAAAAACCACTTTGTGAAAGTTGTGTCATTCAATTCAGACATTTTAACTCAACTAAAAAGTAGTGGCATTAAATTAAACATTAAATAAAAACTAGGCCATCATTCCCTTTACCTCATTCCTGTCTTAAGCCTCGATGCCATCACTTTACTTCCAAAAGGAATAGTTCCTAAACATTCTGCAGGAGAAAGCAAAAGAACATTAATAGAGATACTCGGCCCCTACATTAATGCAGTCCTCCATCAAAAGCTGATAAAATCCACACCCCTCCATCAAGAGCTAAAGAAGGGAGATATAACCTTCTTGTCTCCTCACTGAAGGGAACGCCCTAACCTAAATGAAAGAATGAACAAGCTATCCTCAGAAAGCCATGCACAGTTAGATATAAAATGTGAGCACGTCCTAAGAAATGTCAAATGACTGGACCTTACATCATTTTGGCAGCTCCATACCAGTGTTAGAGCAGATCATGACCCTGTTAGATTTATATTAATATGCTGCTCCCAGAAATTGAACAAGACAGGTACAGTATGCAGATATAAAACAAAGAGAATGATTTCCCCATGCAAAAAATAACTCATAGATTTATGAACTGAGGTTTTCTAGTCCATTTCCTTCATTTGAAAGATAAGGGTCTAGTGAGCTTAAATCACTTCTGAAGCTCATCCATATAGTAAAATACACTGTAAATCAGATTGTCTGGCTCTCGAGTCAGTGTTTTTTTCGTTCTATCAAGGTACTCTCTACGCTTGAGTGTTCCTCTGACCAGGGAGAGAACCATTCTATACCATCTGAGTTTAAATTACTACATCCCCAGGAAATAAAAAACTAATTTCCCAATATTATTCCTGAATTAAGTAATAGTGAGTCTAGATGTTGTAATATGCTTTCAATAGTAACTGAAACTTAAAGGGAAAAAATAATTTCACTATTAGTGATATATTTTGTGTCATAAACAGAGAAAATCATCATTTGTAGCATAGTATTCTGGGTATAAGCCTGGATTCTGGTGTTTATACCTCCTGGTTCAAGTCCTAGTTTTGACACTTACTAGTGGAAATCTTCTTAATCTCGCTAAGCTTTGATTTTCTCATTTTTAAAAAGAGGGTAACAGCGCTACTTACGTCATCGAGTTACTGTGAGAATAATGCACAAAAAAATCCTCAGCACATGGCCCAACACGTACACATATTCATATTGACAGAACTATTGTGGATTGCAATAAGACATGAATAGAAGTTACAATCAAAGTTCCACCCTTCAAGTTTTAGATGTGACATTTATTCATAAACTAATCTCCCAAATTAGAATGCTTGATTTGAACCTTACGGCAATTACTTTTATCTAGTTTAAGAAATGAAAAAATTATAAAGCAGCCAATTCATACAATAAGATTTAAAGCCAAAAACCGATTAAATTCAACATGAAACAAGCATTTTGTAATCTATTTCAGCCAAATGAACGCATTTTCCCTCATTCATGCAACCATCGCTCAGTGAGCCCGCACCGGTGTTACAAAGAGCCTATTAACTATTGATACTTTGTTGATGATCCAAGGGCTCCCCCTGTCGGAGCGTTGAAAAAAATTCAAAGCTAAATTAAATAACTTTTCTAAACTGATGCTTTCTCAAGTAAATTCTTAACCAACAATTCTACGAAATTAATCCGCTCTTTAATCACTGCTAACATACAGTCAGAAAAAACGATGTCACGTCATCTGCTACAAAAGCACCAGAACAGTCAAATTTACATCCCTGTAATGTACCCGGGAATTTGGAAAGAAAACTCACGGTATTTCCCCCAGAATCTATTTCACAACATTCCATAAAATTATTGGCGTGGATCACCTAGATAAGTATATCGATGTCTTTGTTCTGTCCATGTAAAACTCTATACTTTATTTAATATGCCATTGTAACAGTTTCACCCACATTAAATATTCATCGGGTTGTCTTCTGTGTACGGGGCGCTGCACTGGGTGAAAGGGATGCGAAAAAAATCTCTATCCTCAAAGAAATGAAAACATACTTTCTAAAAAGGGAGGGGTAACAAAGATGTGTACAAAGAAGCAGAGTAAAACGCCCACTGAAAAAGATCTGGTTCTCTCGATTTGCTGCTTTGTGTCACCTTACGAAAGTCATTCGACTTCTCTGCTTTCTGAACGGCAGTTTCAGCGTCGCAGGTCCCCCGCACCCGCGCGGGTGGAGCTGAAGCCCGCGGACTCCAAGGGCCCAGGACGCCGAACCCGGGGTCGGTCCAGGCCCTCCTGGGAGACCTGAGGCCTCTCCCAAAACATCCCCAAAGGGCGTCCCCTTTGTTCACTCATTCGACAAACACTCGTTCAAGTTCAGACGCCCCTCGGGCCTCGGAACACCAGTTCGGGTCTCACTTTGCAGGGGCGCTGTGCTCGCCTCGTGAATGACCCAGCGAAGCCGGGGCCACCGAATCTCGGCCACTACTCAGCAAGCGCCGCGTGTGATTTACCAAGTGCCGTCCCTCCGAGTCCCGGGCGGCCGGGAGCATCACGCCCTCTCCCTTCCCTTCGTCCTTCACGGCCACCCAAGAACACGTTAATGGCACGGAGGAACCGCGGCCAGCTCGGTTCCGGCCTCGGCGCCAGCCTTAGGCCAAGTCGCCGCACCCCGCGAGGAGAGGCGCCGCCCTCTGTCCCCGCCAGCAGCAAGGGCTCCAGGCCGCGGCCGGGGGGCCCGGGGCCG